TGTGTCACGATGCCAAGGGTGGCGTATTCACCTCCACACACATCCCCCCACGACATCTAGAAAGGGCCCATTAGAGCTACAAAGATTGGGGTCATGGGTCGCTGATGGTACTTCCTTCAGGGATCAACGCTGATTTTCTGAGTTTTCGTCACCGAGCTCTTGGCCAATTTCGTCAATCAGGGAGGGCTGCGTCAACCAAGATCTGCCTCATGGGCTTGGAGCTGAGGTAAAAATGCTTATAAAATATTAACCAAGGGCAGTGTAGCATTTTATCGTGGCAGGTTTTAATATGAACTGTCTCTTTGGGAATTCACACTTGCTCTGCACGTATGAAAATGTCACTTCTATTACTATACATTTTCCGAAGCCCTGTTCCTGAGGATCAAGGAAGGGGCTCAGGTTTTAAAATTAATGATTGTTCTCATGTTTTATTAAGGTCTTTAGAGTTTGCGATGGGTTACAGGGGATCAGAAGGTGTATTTCCAGCAAACTTCTGTACTGGCACTTGTTCTGTATATGTAGTCTCTTCCGATTTGTCTTTAGAGGTCTTTTCTTTCTGAACTGTTCGCAGGAGGAAATGGCACATTCTCGCATAGTCCACCTGGTGTCTCTAGAAGCACAGCTGGTGCCCATTCTACTTTTTGTTAACTCTCTCCCTTGAAAACATGGCCGAGCAGGAAGGTTGGGGATCCCTCAGCCCAGCCTAAGAAGGAACATTCGAAGGTACTACATTGTGCACGTGGCCGCCTGGCCCCAAAGCAGTCACATCTCTGGGGCTGATCCTTCTGCAAGCTCCCCGAGAGCATGGGGTTCCTTGAGGTTCTTTGTGGTACGCTGTGGGGACCTCCACCCCCAGCCGCCCTGACATGGTCATTGTTCAGGATGGAAATCACTGATCTGGGAGAGGTTCTAGTTGTGTTTCTGTTTAAAACTCACAGCTTGTGGAAGTCTAGATTGCTCTCCTGTGGACTTTGTTGTTTTTTTCCTAAATGAGCCCAGACTCATGAGCTTGGCATTTGGGGCACTGCTATTTCGATCCGACTTCCTTGTTAGTCTAGTCTTCACCTGAGTCACCTGCCTCCTACCTGCTCTCTGACCAGGGTTTCTGTTTCTACTTTTGGAAATCTTACGTTCTTCCCTCATGAGACCTGCCTCCGCCTCTCTTTCTGGAACAATCTCTCTTCTCCTCTGACCCCTTCTAGTGTGTATTTGTCTGTTCTTTGCAATACGCCATCTCCCCTTGATTTTGTGGTTACTTCTTGGAGAGCAGGGGCAGCGCCTTGTTCTCTTTTGCGTTTGCCACGTTGCCTACTACAGTGATAGGCAAACAAATAGAGTCTCAAAAAGATATTTATCCAGTCATGGAATTGGAAACTATGGATCTCAGTGACAGATGATGCGCGCTTGGGTGTTCAGAATGCCTTTGATGTGGGAAAGCATTTTGTAACATTTTCAACATTTGTATCGGCTCGAAATATGCCTATTTAATAATAAAGACGTAAATGGCATCACTTAGTATTTAAGAGGAGAGATTCTGGACTTATGCTCGAGTTGGAAACTTGCCCTGTGGTTTACTGCTATGTGATCTTCAGCAAGATATCTTAATTCTCTAGATTTCCGTTTTCTCAGCTATAAAGAAAACACTATGTATTTCAGTGAGCGTAAAAAGCACTGTTATTTTATATACTGCAAAGAAAGAAAAAATGCTGTCAATCTATTGATGCAACACTTTCTGTGGCTTAGAAAGAGCTATTGAAATAGCTCTTTTAGATATATTTAAGCTTTTAAAAGATCACGTCATTCCTTAAAAAGGAAAATAAATTTGTTAAGGTTTTCCTAAAGCATCTTCATAGCTAGTCTCAGCCTTCTGAAACATACAACGTATCGACTCAAAGTTGTCCAGGCTCATGTTTCCCACACACCATCCTCCTCTATGCCATTAAAGCTGTTGGCGATGCGACTTTATTACCCCTCCCCCACCGAGAATGAACTACCGTTTTCTGTAGGATTTTCTGCCAAGCTGCTAACACCATTCCTCAAGTTTTAAATGCTAGTGCTTTCCTGATCTTAGAAATCTATGTTTGTAACAGAAGGTTTTCACATAACAGCCAGGACTCAAATGGTGCTGAAGTAGTTTGTCCATGGAAATGCCAGGTGTTGCAGGTGGTCAGCCAGGCCTCCAAGTCTGACAGCTGAGTTATAACAACTGCATCCTGACTGCCTTCTGGCCGGTAGTGACTATAAGACACATCCCTGTTTCAGGGATGTTAAAATGTAAAAAAAAAAAGAAAAGAAAAAATGCATCTTAGAATTAAGAATATAGGATATAATCTATTTCCTAAGGCTGTGATGAGATTTAAAGGACAGAAGGTTTAAATCTATTATTATTAGTAGTAGTAGTAGCTATTATTGTGATTATGGTTACAGTAAATTCTTAGAAAACATAGTGGAGCCTTTTAGTAACAGTAACTGTTATTTATGGGGCACTCTTTACTGTGATACATTTATTAATTTATGGTTTAATTTTCATATATACATTTTCCCAATTTTTTACCCTTTTTATTATGATTCACATTTAATGAAATGCACAGGTGTTAATTGTACAGTTCTATGAGTTTTGACACCTGTGTTACCGACAGCCTTAGCAAGATACAGGACATTTTCATCACCCCAGAAGCATGACCCTCATGTCCCTTTTCAGTTGCTATCCCTCCTTCCCAGATGACTTCTGTTCTGATATCTTCTACCATGCATTAGTTTTGCCTGTTCTAGAACTTGATGGAATCACATGGCATGTACTCTTTTGTGTCTGTATTTTTTTTTGAGATATATACACGTTGCTGCATGTATGCAGAATTTGTTTCTTTTTATTGCTGAGTGTCTTCCACTGTGTAGCTACACCACTGTTTTTGCATTTGCCTATTGATGGATATGGAGGTTGCTTCCAGTTTTGAGCCTTTATGTGTAAAGCCACTGTGAACATCCAAGTACAAGTATTTTTGATTATATGTTTTCATTTCTCTTGTGTAAATACCTAGAGGTAGAATTGTTGGATTAAAGGATAGGTGCACGCTTAACTTTATTAGAAACTGCCAGAACTTTTCTCAAAAGGGCTGCACCATTTTATGTATGTGAGAGTTCCCATTTCTCCACATCCTCACCAATGCTGACATTTTTAGTTTAGTTAATTTGAGCCATTTCAATAAGTTTGTAATGGAATCTCTCATGGTTTTAGTTTGCATTTTCCTGATGGCTAATGATGTCAAACACTTTGTCATATGCTCATGGCCATTTGTATATCTTGCGTTACAAAGCGCATGTATGTTGTTGCCCTTTTTTCAATGACATGATTTGTGTTTTAATCATTGAGTTGTAGGATTCAAGTCTTTTGTCAGATATATGTGTAGCAAATATTTTTGCCAAGTTTGTGATTTGCCTACTCATTTTCTTAATAGTGTCTTTTGGTGAGCAGAAATTTGTAATTTTGATGAAGTCCATTTATCTGTGTTTTCCTTTTATAGTTAGTGTTGCCTGCATCCTATCTAAAGTTTTGCCCACTCCACAGTCAGCAGGATATTCCTCTATATTTCCTTCTAGAAGCTTTATAGTTTTAACTTCTACATTTAGGTTTATTATTTACCTTTAATTAAATTTTGTGTATGGATCAAGGTTAGCATTTTCCTCATATAGATAAGCTAGTTGTTACGGCACCATTTGTTGAAAATACTTTCTTTTCCTCATTGACTTGCTTTGGCACTTTGGTTGAAAATCAATTGACCATATGAGTGTGAATCTACTTCTGGACTGTCTATTCTATTCCATTGATCTATTTGTCTATCTATCTATATGCCATTGCCAAACTGTCTTTGTGTTTTGGCATTAGTCTTGAAATCAAGACTAACTTTTTAAGGATTGTTTTGGTTTATCCAGGCCTTTGCATTTTCTTTTACATATTCTCTTATTTTATCTTTTTTTAGAGACAGACTCTCACTATGTTGCCCAGGCTAGAGTACGGTGGTCATTCAAAAGCGTAATCATTGTATATTACAGCCTCAAGTTCCTGGGCTCATTCTTTTACCTTTTAGAATAAGCTTATAAATTTCTACAAAAGCGTCTCATAAAATTTTGATTAGAGTTATATTAAATCAATGAATCAATTTGGGGAAAATTGAAATCTTAGCAATATTGAATTTTCCAATGTATGAATATAGTATGTCTTTCTAATTATTGTCTTTAATTTTGCTCAGCAGTTTTAGTTTTCACTGTAGAGCTGCACATATTTTAAAAAATTTATCCGTGAGTACTTTGAGTTTTTAAATATCTTCTAAATTTTTAAAATCATCTTCTAATTGTTTGTTTTAGATATTTAGACATACAATTGATTTTTGTATATTGACCTTGTTTCCTGCAACGTTGTTACATTCAATATGTCATATATTTTGCTCAGTGCTTTACAGAATTTCTTGTTTATTCTTGCAACCACCTATGATTCAGGTGTTGTTACAGTCATTTTTTATAAGAAGTGTGTTCTAGGTGTGCCAATTTCCCTGCTCCAGGTCGTGCAGTTTGAGTAAAAAGGGGACTAGGATTTTAATTTAGGTCTAGTCTGACTCCAAGTCCCAGTCCCCTTCCAGCCTGCTATTATATGTCACCTCTTTCACATTTGGATGTTTGAATGGTGTGATACATTGTGGCTTCCCTGGGTTTCACTGGGACATTTTTTCGCCATCATGTTTCACAGGCATGGCTTAGCCAATGGAACCTCCAAAACAGACATAATAAGAATGAGGTGATAAAGAGCCACTGGCAGTTTTTCCCGTCTGAGGAGGTTGGTGTTCTTCCAGTTAGTGTTTCACAGGACTGTTGCAGAAGCAGTATGAACTGCAAAGTTCAGTTCCTGTACCCGTGCTGTGAGTGCATGCTAGCTGCTACTAGATCTCCTATGTTTGTGGATGCCGTAAAGCCTGTTTTCTCTCCTTCTCTCCCACAATGTGCTGTAGGAAACCATTTCTGTACAGCTAAGGACCTCACCGAGGAGATTAGATTGTTAACATCAGAGAGAGAAGGGCTGGAGGGACTCCTCAGCAAGCTGTTGGTGCTGAGTTCCAGGAATGGCAAAAAGTTGGGAAGTGTTAAAGAAGATTACAACAGATTGAGAAGAGAACTGGAACACCAGGAAACTGCCTACGGTAAGGGGTGCACAACTGTTGCCTGGTGGGATATTTATGACATTCACTGGGCTGTGTGGCCAGGCAGGACATTCTATGCTTCATGTGAATGTCACCGTGGAGAGCATCACGGAGCATGTGGCCCTTCTCCTGGGAGACCTTTTTGGCAGGCACCTTGGCAAACAGGGTGGAATTACTTGTCAGCTTTTGTTTTGATATTCACATGTGACATCTTTTCTTTTTCTATTTCTCTGCCCTCCCCCCACCCCGGCATTTGTGAAGGGCCTTGTGATTATTTAGAGCAATCTCTCCCTTGGCACAGGTCGTGAGCATTTTCTTTGTTGATAATTATCTTCCTTTTGTCCCCTGGCTCAGTCCTCCGGGTTTGCACAATCACAGCCTAAATCAGGCTGACTCTGAGAAAATTGAGAAAAGACCATGAAGTGTCTCTTCCATGTTTGTGCTTTTCTGAGAGCTTCTTTCCGCAGGAAGAATGATGTAGATGATGCCAATGCTGCCTTAGCTGAAGCATCTGCTCGTTGGTGGGGTTCAAGTATTCTTACGTTCTTTTCTGTTTCAATTGTGAAGAGTAACTGAGGTCACCTTGAGATTTGCACCCTAAGGGATAATCTCAGAAGATGCTGGTTCAGTTCAAATTGAGATAGCAAAAACATATTTCTTAAAAAAAAGTAAGGGATTTCTGATGATTCAGTTTCTAATTTGCAGAATGAAATCATTAAAAGCAAATTTAGATTTAAAATATATTATATGCTGGAACTTGTTTCTTCACCAGTAAAGTGAGAAGAATAACATCTATTTCATAGGCAGATTAAGTGGTACAGATTAATTTACAAAGATCCTGGAGTGTGTGTGTATGTGTGTGTGTGTGTGTGTGTGTGTGTGTGTGTATGTGTGTATATGCACCCTTCTGATCCCTCCTAGGAACTAGAAGTTGCTTGAGGACAGAGGTCGTATGTAGCATATCATGGTCCCTAAAGAAATGGTGTTTACTAAAAAAAAAATTGACAGACATGTATATGAATAAATGGCTATATTTAAAAAGTCTGCTTATTTAAAAAGAAATAAGAAAAGAAATGGGGCTATTAGAAGCCAAATTTGAAATAGGGCTGTTTGAAAATATTCTGCAAATTGAAGTAAATGTAGATTAGTCTTTAAAAACCAAATGCAGAAATATAAAATCAGCTAGCAGAAATTAAATGCGTCATTTGGGGATGAATATATTTTGTTTTAAAGGCTTACCAAATTGTGTAGAGAGAGGTTTCTGCACAGAGTCGTTTGCATCACAGATAGCATGTTCAGCGGTTATTGTGCCTTCTCTGCAAGGAGCACCCTTAAGTTGGCTCAATAACTCAGTGTTTATCTTTTCTTTTTACTTTTAAAGGTCAAGCCTTGTTTTTGCCAAACTAGAGACCGTACAGTCGAACCTAAATAACTACAGTACTGAGGAATGACAACATGCTCTCCCTAGACATTAGAGCCTGGCTTGCTACATTATGATAGGAATGAGCATTGTACATTCTAAGTAGATCCTTGCTATTGATTTTTTTAAATATATAAACAATGAAAACTATGGAATTTCTCTTGCTATCACCACATAATTTGGGGCACAAAATGGGGAATATATTATATCTAAGAATAAAGAAGATGTGAACAAATTTGAGCAGATTTAGTCCAGCTATATTTTCATTTGAATAGTTGAGCTCTTGAAAGCCATTAATATCTCTTTTAAAAAAAGGACCGTGCAGTTTTTTTTTTGAATCTCATCATTGTCACTTCACTAAGTATTTTCAAAATGATGAATAAAACATAAACAAATGGAATGAGGGATTGTTACCATGGATGATTCTAAATTGCAGATGGCTCATTACTGTTGCGAAGGCTCTCTTTATGCTTCATGCTTGGATTTTGCTGGATCAGCTACCCTTTTCCATATATGTTGATTTACACGTGCTTTAGGCTGAAGCTAATTTTTAGCCAATCTGAGGTGACTTGCCTTGGGGTGGACTAAATTAATAATCCATGGTTGGTGAGAGTGGGGGAAACAAACAACGAATTCCTGAAAAATTGAAGCTTTTACCTATTGAAATGTAAAAAATCTAGGCCAAAGTCCATAGTCAGCTAATTTTGGGTTTTGGGAGTTAAAATTTTAAAGGGAGCTCTGTGTTCAAGTTTCAATGTAGAGCAATTACAAAGGGATATTGTGCATATGCATGTATGTGCCTTGACTCTTTCTGTCTTAGATAAAACATTTTACAATAAAACTATTTAAGAAATGAGCAATATATATAGTCTTCTTTAAAAAGATTTTGATTTCCAACAATGGTTGTAGAATGCAGTGTTCAGGGGAAAAAGACTGACTGTCAGGGACCTAGACTTTTCTGTTTTGTTCTTCTGTGCCCCTCAACATGTGACGTTTATTCCAAGATGGCTGGCCCAGCCACCTGGATGTCCAACTCCAGTCAGAAGGAACTAAGAAGGAAGAGAGCTCACCTATCTATCCCCTTTAAGGATCCTTTTTGGAAGCTGTGGCCACGTCTGCTACTGCCATATCCCTGTAGATTTAACCTTGTTACATGGTGACAGCTAATTACAAGGGGAACTGGGAACTGTCCTTACCCTGGGCAGCCATGTGCCCTGCTAAAATCCTGGGTTCTGTTCCTATAGAAAAAGGGGAGATTTGCAGTCTTAGGGAATAATGAGCAGTGTCTCTCATATAGAGAACTCTTACTGACGTGACGTGTATCTCTAATGACTCATCTGAGATGAACTTGCATCACTGGTCACTTAAGATACCTTATGTCTTGTGTCTCTGGCTAGTCTGTGAGTCCACTGAAGTCAGAACACTGTCCTTAGGTTTCATCGTATTGCTTCTGTGTCTTACCTGGTGTCTTTTAAAATCATAAATACAGTATACCATAAATATTTGTTTGCTGGGGCCAGATGTTGAAATGAAACATTAGTCCTGTCTTCCTTCATTTTAGATTACAGATCTAGACCTTGAATCTTCTGTTTCTTTATTCATTTTCCAATTTAATGAGAGCAGTGATAAGTTTGATTATCTTTCATGGAAGATGCTGAAGTTGTCTGAGTCGGATGTTCAGATTGGGGTGTCAGGAAACAAAACCATGCGGTGATGGAAAAGGAGCTGAAATATGCCAAAGTCCTCAAGGGCAAAGGGAGACAGACATCAGCACTGAATCCATTGGCTCTTGTCACCATGACGCAGGCTCTGAAAAGGA